GCACACATTGCACAGAGAAGCTGTGGCTGCCCCATCCCTGGAAGTGTCCAAGGCCAGGTTGGATGGGGCTTGGAGCAACCTGGTCTAGTGGAAGGTGTCCTTGCCCGTGGCAGGGAATTGGAACTGGATGATCTTTAAGGTCCCTTCCAACCCACACCATTCCAGGATTCTTTGTTGGAGAGGAGCCTGGGCAATGTGCGCTAATCCACACTGCACCACCCATTGTAGTTCTTGGGTCAGGTGAGCTGCCCCACCACATCTCTGCTGTCAAAGAGATTGTAGCCCTGCAGCTGCTGTTGGAGCTCTAATTTCTCTTGTTTGTTCCCCACCCTGCAAGTGTTCCTGCACAGGCACTGTACAGAGGCATCCAGCCATGGTAATTTCCCAGAAGCCCAGAGGGATTTCTTTTTCCCCATTGTATCAGGGTGAATTTATGCTGATACTTTTGGTCTGTGTTTGGCCCAGACAACTGTAAAGGTTTTGTTCTTTCCCTGCCAAGTTATAAGAAAACAAGTACTGATAAATGGGCACCTCTTCCTTGAAGAGAGAGCTTCTTGTATAAACTGTTTTAATTGGTGTTCTGTGATTGGCTAATTGTTCTCCAAGGTCACTTGAAGGAGAGATTGAGGAGGAGGAGGATGAAGTAAACCCACTGACTCAATTAAGAAAGACCCCTCGAGTGCAGTTCGCAGGCGCAGGGAAAGCCACGCGTGCGCAGAAGAGATGCACTGACATAACCAGGGGGTGGGACTGAGGGCCTCTGGCTGGGCGCTGATGACCACTCCTGCCTAGGCTGAGGTCACTCAGTTAATTGTATAAAAGCAGATAGCGCTTTCTTGGAGGGAGCTAACTTCACATCAGGGACAACGTTGCCTTTGGCGGGGATGCCTGCCAGTTTGTGAACTTACTGACTCTCCAAGGATGCAGCTTCTGCTCTGGGTAATTATGGGTATGCTAGGTCGGTAAGATAATTTTATGGGCAACAGCTGGGTAACTGGGGAGGTCGTGCTGGGGCCTTATTTCTCTCCTCCTTCCTCCCTTTTGGGTTTGTTCATTTTGTTGGCCACCTCTTGGTAATAAATATTGGTTTTTGTTGAGCTTTCAATGGTGTCGTGGTTTCAAGATTCAGTATGATCCGAACCCTCCCTAATACACCCATAAATACTTCCTTATTTAGTGCACACTCTTGAAGTGCAACCCTTTCAGCCCTTTTTTCTCTTTTTATAATGAAGCCTGTCCTGTTCATCCCATTCCTCACTTATTTATTTTCTACTTCCTCCTCTGTTGTTCCCAGTTTAAAGCTTTTATCAGGTTGGCCAGTCTGTTGGCAAAGAAGTTTTTGCCTGATTGAATCAGGTGGGTTTCATCACTTCCAAAGAGCCCTCAGTCCTCCAAAAGGATCCCATGGTTATAGAAACCAAGTCCATTTGTCAATGCCAGCTGTGTAACCAACTGTTGACCACCAGGATTCATCCACTCTTCCTTCTCTCCACCTCCCCCCTCACCAGCAGGATCAAGGAGAATCCCATGTGGGCCCACACACCCTTGGCCATCACCCCATGTGAGTCAGCACAGACAGGCAGCTGGAACTGGACTCAGGACTAGAACACAAAGAGTAAATTTGTTTCCATTACCTTGATAACCCTGGGAATCTCAAAGCAACACCCAGGCAGTGGCACAGAGACAGTGGCTTCTGAACTCGGTCTGTGATGGAGGGTCACCGGCTGCAGTTCACTCTGGGTTATCAAGGGTTATTCCCCACTGCAAGGTCACATGAGTGATTTACAATCCTCCTCACCTCTTTTCTGCTCTTAACTCATTCCTCCCAACACTCCCAGAGCCTGCCTGCTACTTCCCAGGACCGCCATGGCACCGTCATTAATACCCCCAAGGAAGAGAAGGAGGGGTAATGGATTGCAGGTGCAATAAGTTGAGCAGGTCCATTAAAAGTGACCCCAGTTTGAGTCCATGGCAAGGAGATGACTGGTCCAGCAGCTTGGAGCCTTCCATTGCTGTCACTCACCACTTTTTCTGGTGCTCCTGTGTGGCTCGTGGGCAATGGGCTCAGACACCTTGTTTGGCAGAGCTCCCAGCTCCTCCTTTGCCAGGACAGCATGGAGTCTACTCTGTGGCTGCAAATCTTCATGTGAAACAAGAGCCTTCACCTTGGTGCCAGGAGCTCCCAGCCTTTGTCACCATGGCAACCTCCATTTCCCATCCTTATGGGCACAGACTCAACCTGCCTCTCCTTTGGTACAAAAGGGAGAAGTGGGCTCTTGAAGCTGCAGAGACTCAGAGGTGGAGTCCATCTTTTGCCATCAAGGTCCAGATTGTGTTAATGCTGCACAAGTTGATCATCATGAAAGATTTGATAATTCTGCAACAGCTCCTTTAATCTCTGATAGTCACTCCCATGGCCACAGTGCCTCTACATAACAAAGAACCATCATTTTCTTAGACCGTTCCTTCAAAGCCATATTGTGTTTCTTCATGTGGTATGTTGGGTCTTGAACCACTTGAGAAGTCACGTGACTGCCTGTATAATCCAAAATTCTGTGTAGTGGAAGAGAGGCAGTTTTTGCAATGAAGTACACCACTGTGTACAGGGGCTGGAGTACCACAATGATATAAACAGCACAGGGCCCTGTACAAAAACCCAGAGAAGGTAAAAAGGCAATATATTTGGGGAAGGAAAGGAGATGGGTGACTGTAATGATTAAAGAGACAAATAGAGCATTCTTTTTTATATTTCTGTTTATCCTGGAAAGATAGGGCTCATGGAGTCTCTAAAATATGGAAGAAAGGGTGAACTTGGAAGTCCTATACTCAATCAAGCTATTTGAAGTCATTAACTATTCCATTATTGTTTTTCTCTTTCCAGTTTTGGAAGAAAATATGCGTCTGGATACCCTCAAGGAGTTGCACACATGGATAATTAGGAAAAATGTCTAACTTTTCTTCTCCTGTTTTTTCTACCCTTTTGATTACCACGTGGAAAGAGTGATTTATTGCAATGAGTATTAGCAGTGTGAGGATGATAAGCTTGTATTTGGACCAGGGACCACCGTCACAGTTGTACCAAGTAAGTACCTTTTTTTATCTATTTCTAAAACTTGTGTTAAAATTAAAGTGGGGGAAGAAAAAGGAATCTAGTGGTTTGGGTTCACTGCAAGAATTTTCTGCTGCAATAGTCCCTTGAGTGCACTCTCTCTCTCCAGCCAGGCTTTCAAGCCAAATCCTCAGCTTGGAGCTGCTTAGGAAGGTTTCACAGGAACAACTGGCCTAACTCTGTGTAACAGCTTCATTCCATGATCCCCAAACACCAGGTGTGCACTACTGAACATGTTACAATTTATTCCCAGTTTGGACACCACTCTGGCCCAAACTGACTCTGAAGGCTCCTCTTCTCCAGTGGATCTTCACTGACTCCCTCTGGGCAGGAATGCACAGCTCAGTGGAGAGCTCACAGTGGGGAGAAGTTTTGAGACAGATCTTTAACTGTCTGGTTGGAGAAGTTTTGACACTGGCACCACACTCACAGTGTCCCCAGGGAAGCAATTCCACTGGCATGGAGATAGAGGAGGAAGGAGGATAAATATCCCTGGCCTTCAGTTTTCACAGGTGCCTCATATCCAAGACCTCCTAGAATGAAAGACAACTGGCTCCCAAGTTGTCTGGGCTTTGAAAACAAAGGTGTGGGGAGTAGGGATGATAACAAGCCATAGTTGTTATTCCTGTCTTTATTTGGACTTTCCTGATGTACAAAAAAGGTGGATGTCCCACCCTATGGGAATGTGAGTGTTGGGGTGTCAGAGGAGATTGTCAGGTTGCTCTGTGTTATCCTGAAGATAACACAGACTTGTTGCTGTGCTTTCAGAGGTCTGCATGTCTTTATAGTGCTGCAAAAACGTCCCATGTCATTTTACATTCCTAAAACACCCTGCTCTCATTTCAGAAGGGCTTGGGACTGCCTGAGGTGCTGCCTAATATCTGCCCATGCCTGTAGGAGATGTTGCATGGGAATAAATGTCTGTTTTGGAACAATCTCAGTCCACTTCTACTTCCAAAGGGGCAAAGGAATGCCAAGTTATCCTTTTGAAGAAAAACGTATTCTTTCTGTGCTGTTAATGATTTTCTTTTTGTAGCTAAAGATGAGATATTTTCAAAGCTGCACAAAGACTTTCAGATTATGTGTGACAGTAAAAGATATTGGGCCCTAAGTATCTAAGTCTCTCTGTCCATTGAAATACTTAATAAGTTGAAGCCTAAATTTCCAGAATGTGAACAACCTCTTTTGGTTTTGATTTTCTTTGGGAGCTACTAATATGCATTTTAAGATGTTTAGAGTAGATATACTTTATTATCCAAATCTTTTGAGAATCGCTCCAAGTCAAAATAACAACCATCAAATAACAACCATTAGTGTTACTATAGAATACCTCAGTCATATTCTCTTGAGGATAGACAAGGTTTTTGTTTTGGTGGGGGTTGGTTTATTCCAGACAAAACTTCCTTTAAGAATACTAAGGCCCATGACTCTACAGAATATATGACTCTTCCTGTGACCTCGTTAGACTAAAATGAAAGAGAAGTACAACTTTCTGTCCTAATAAAATCCCAGAATGTAATATAGAAATATCTCCCAAACACAAGCAGATGTAGGAATTCATGGCTGTATTTTCAGGCAGTGCAAAATGGTGGGACTCAGTTGTGGCTTCTGGGGTCTGATAAAAAATTATTCTGCTTTACTAACTTCAATTGCAATGTGTACATTGTTTCTTGCTGAAGATCTTGCCCAGTGAGTTATTGCAGAGAAGCAGCTTGTTAGTGTAGTGGCTGTTTCGAAATACTGGAGAGGAGAAAACATGAAAAGCCTTTAAAGATCTTCTCAGATAATGCAGAATGCACAATGCTCTGGCAAACCATGTTACAACACCTGGGAAGGAAATGTGTGTAGGAAGAATAGAAAAACAAACCTTTTTTGATGTATGTGTTTTAACTGTGTGTAACTGCTGCTCTTGTCTTTGGGAAAGGAACTCAACTGACAGTGGAGCCAAGTAGGTGTCCTTTATGCATTATCCTTTTCTGAGTTGTTATTGTTTGAATTTTGCCTTTTTTCCCTGCCGATGAATGTCTGATTTCTGTGGGGTGTCTGGTTGCTGTAGGTGTGGACAAGAGTGTAGTTTTGACTGATTTATCAGCAGAGCTGACCCCTGAAGTTGTGGCAGAGCACAATTTGGCTTTCACCTCAGTTCCTTACCACTTTAGTGTGATGGGGAAAGAGTGTAAAATTAGAGCTCCTTGATCAAACTTTGGTGAAGTGTCCTCTGATGCACAAGATGTTTGATATAAGAGATCCCTTGACCAGACTGCAAGGCAGACACCATGCAAAATTAAACCCCTGATACTCCTCTCTTTAGCAAAGAGACCCACCAGGATGCTCCTGTCAAATTAAACACGTGAATCTCTTTTAGTATGTCTGACAGCCTTTCATAAGCTAAGCCTTTCTGGCAAGGAAGGGTGATAGAGGATTTCTTTCAGTTACATGTTTTTACTATATTTCAAATTACTAATCTGAATAAAGTCCTGACATTGGTTTGTGAAGTCAACCTCTTGTCATTCATGTATTTCCAGGGGAATTCAATTCTAAAATTCTTTCAAAACTGAAAAAATACATCTAACATTTCAGAGTAACCAAATTTCTGACAGATCAGAGCAAGCATCTCAAATCCTGTGAAAAGCTGTCAGCATCTTTTAGATTCTGTCTAAACTCTCGTTTTCATGTCTCGATGTTTGTTGGTATTTTAGTGCTAAAGGACCAGCACTGAAGGTTATTACACTACTCGAAGGAATATTGTAAGATTTGTCCATGAGCATCATGTTTGTAGCCCCAGGATATTCTTTCCCTCCAATCAGTTTATTAAACAAACTCTGCATTACACTTCCCACTGCTCCGGAGCCGTGGCTCTGCCGACACGGCACAGCACAGGGGTGAGAATGGTCACACTTTCTGGAACAGGTACAAGAGTTGTTGAACCAAGGACCAATCCTGTTCTCTCCTCATCGCCTGCAGACTGGTTGGCATGTCTTACACCTTGTGCAATGTCTAGGGGGGAAAACCTCCCCCACAATGAAAGTTCTTGGCCTTGTCAGGAACTTCTGGAGCAGAACTAGTGAGTGACATCGCTGCCCATGGCAGGGGCTGGAACCAGATGGCCTTTAGGGTCCCTTCCAACCCAATCCATTCTGTGATTCTGTGATTCTGTGATTCTGTGATTCTGTGATTCTGTGATTCTGTGATTCTGTGTGGAGATATACAATTCACAGACTTTTGATTGCTTCTCTCCTACTTTCCCATCTTACAGACAGAAGTCCTTCTTGCACCTGAGCATTTGTTATGGAAAAGCTCAGCCTTGTCCCCCCCTGCAGCAGCAGGACTTCATTTCTGCAAGTAACGTCACTCAGAAGGGGAACCTTGCACAGCAGTGAGGCAACAAACTGACCTCTGCTCTCCCTGCCACTCCTGCTGTGGTTGGACCTTTCAACCACAACAGGAGATTTGGGGAGGGGAGGGAGAGTAAAGGGAAAAACAGTTATTTCCTCATGTCTCACGAATATGCAAGGCAGTCCTCATAGAGTTGACATTGTTTGGAATTAAATTGTTGAGAAAGCAGAATAATTGGACTCTTGGAGTGACATGCACAAAAGTTCCCTTCTCCTTTGCAGGTCCTTAATTTATAAAATGAAGAATTCACTTACAGGCACCAGCTTTGGCAAAAGGAAGCTGAGATCCTGTGGAATTAAATATTCTATAAAATACCTGCTCTTGAACACCCTTTCTGTCTCTAATTTGATCTTTTGGAAGCAACAGCAAGAAGTAATGGCAAAAAAAAAAAGGCAGTTGGTCACTAATAATGCTACAAATCAGTCCCAGGTGGTGTGTCTATTAATTTTCATGACTTAGCTCTCAGGCAGGCTTGCAGTAAAATCCATCATGCCCAAACCATACTTTTTTTACAGGCAGTCCAAAACATTCTGTCCCACAAGTCGTTGTGATGAAATCAAAGAAACTGGAAGAAGGAGGCAGCACTGGGAAAGCAGCTTGTTTGGCAAGGAATTTCAGTACAAAGAACATCAGCTTGGAGATGTCCTCTGATGAGGTCGTGTATGAACAGAGCACACCCATTCTGGCGTCAGAGGGGCTGTACAGTGCTATGAAGGTGGTCAGTGTGACAAAAGACACAGAGGTGACCTGCAAGGCCCATTTGGACATTGGCACCATTACAGCATTGTCAGGTACAACTTGGGGGCACAGCTGGAACGTATTTGTGGAGACAGTGTCTTGTGGTGCTGCTCTTCCCTGATAGTCTGCACTGCCCAGGGTGGGCAGCAGAAACGAGAGACACAGTTGGTACTTAAGCAGGGAAAGATGAAAGATGTTTAAAAGCATCTAAAAGAAATGGTCTCAACTGTTTAATAAATTGGAGAAACTTTTCTTTTGATGGGGGAGGAGAGAAGGCACAATCCATTTTTTTAAAATGGGAGTTTATTTTATTTGCAGCATCAAACCTCCTGGAGCACAACCTGAAACAGCCTTTCTAAAGCCAACAAAAAGTTAAACTGGTGGTGTGATTTGGTTTTGGTTTTTACTAAATCACTTTTTATATTTTTTGCAATTGTTTTTATCATCTTGAAGGTCATTCAAATAGGAAAAACAAAACAACCTAGAAATTCTTTTGTTTCCTGCAACTGTCTTCTCAGATTTATGTTTGAATTAGTGACTGATCATCTGAGCCCCAGACTCTACTTCCCACATGTCCCTATGGAAAGGGCCATAGGAATAGTTTTTTAATACTTTCTAAAAATTGGATATGGGTTAAAATGCCTTTTCTTTATCATTCTACAGAAAAGGAGGCTGACGAACCCGTAACGAGGACCAGTAACAGGGTTTGCAACAGCACAGACACCTCTGCCCAAGGTTAGTGACCGAAACAGATTGTGAAGTTACATTGCTGGTTGGGGGATAAATGCATAGAAAGGTAATTTCTCGAGGAGAGAGGAGACAGATTATGACATATTTATCAAACACAAGCTGCTTTTTCAAGGTTGCTGCTGTAGGAACACACAAGCAACAGGAAGCAAAAAGCAATGGAGACAGACACCCTCCTCCCCCGGTGTTGCCATGTTCTCTGGCATCTCTTCCTCTGCTGCTGTTCCTTTCCCTGAAGCTGTTACCTGTGGCTTTTTCCACTTTCTGCCAAGATCCCAACATCCAAACTTAGGCCATGGTCTCTCTCCTCTTTTTGCTGTCCCTGAGCAGGTACCACAGTGCAGAGAGTGAACATGCTGTCTGTGGCTGTGCTGGGTTTGAGAGTCCTGCTGGCAAAAAGCATCGCCTTCAATACACTCATGAGTATCAAGCTGGTTCTTTTCTGAGGTAAGGAAGCACTCAGCTTGATTTGTAGAGATACTGGAAGCATGTGGCAGGAGTGACTGCCCGTCTGTGTGTACTTCTCTAACCCCACAGGTAACGACACCTATTCATCTGCTCCTGATTCCATTAAATAGCTCTTGCAGGTTTCTGGGGAAAAAAACAACAACAATGAGCAAAACCCACAAAAAGCACCCACACCAGGCCCCCTCCCCAAAAAATAAAACAATTAAGAGAAGCCCACCCTGCCTCCCACGTGACAAAGGAAACAACACTTTTCTATATCCAGAGCTCAGTTCTTGGTGGCTGGTTCCCAAATTTTCTTTGCCCGAGCAACTCAGGTATTGCCTGAAGAGCCTAAGAGGTACCTCCTTCACTACTTCAAGTGTCAGAGCACAAAGCCTGGAGAAAACTCCAAACAAATAAGGATTCAGAAGCAAGGATCCCAAAACACAAACCTGTGGGAGTAAAGAGAGGGGAGGCAGGGGGGATTTTCAAATTGAAGTGTCCAAAGAGGCACAAAAGATAGTCCAGCCTAAGTTTTGTAGTGTACCTGTCTTGACTGGACAGCTCTCAAACAGTGGTTTATTGCTCCAGTTGCATTAAATGTGGTTTAAAACACCCTTTGCTCTTCCAGACATGTGGAGTCAAGGCAAGAGGAACCTGAAGAACTGCAGGAAAGAACGTGAACCAGCAGCACAACGGGCTGGACAAGCAGTGTCACATCTGCTGACAGTGAGCACCCAGAACACAACACAGCCCCTTCCCCTTTAGACATTTGATGCTGTTCAATCCTGCCCAGCCAGTTCATTTAGATTTAAGAGTTGTAACTGCTTTTGCTATTTCTTTTTCTCTGTGCACTGAGGAGAGTGCATTTCTCCTCATCCTCCTGCTGAGTAGATCTCCCCACTGTTCTGGCATTTACACAGGAATGTCCAACCTGCCTCAATAGTTGTAGAAAAACCCAATCCTCACTATTGATACATATAGATATATAGAGAGCTATATAATGTTTTAAATCAGGTTTCACAGGCATGTTGTGTTACTGTCTGTAGAACTGGTGTGTTACTGCAGAGACAATTCAGGCACAATAGTTGCCATTTATAGCTTTGGTTTTTAGACAGCTTTATTAACAATAATTTCCTATCATGCCTGAGAAGTGATCCAATTCAAACAGATAATGTTCAACCATAGAAACATTTCTTCCTTAAACCTGTATTTCTTCTGCAAAATATATCCCACATGCATTTTAGTTTCCTGTAGTAGTGACAAAAATAAAATTTTCCTTGACCAAAATGCTGTGGTTTGTTCTGTGCTTTTTCTTATGAATTTGGGATGGACATTGCTGAAACCCAACTGTCCTAATGATCACTGAGATTAGAAATACAGCTTTGATAACCCAGATTTCCTGTTGGCTGGATTTGTCTTTTCTAGACTTTGTGCAGGGAAGTATCTCTTGGGACGTTCAGAAGCTTCAATTAAGACATAGCTTGCTGAAAGCATGAGGGAGGGAAACACACAGAGCAGAAGAGAAGAAAACATGCTGGTTTTTTCCACTCAGTGATATGAGGAAGAGGCCCACAGAAAATAATATGTGAATGTTTGATGGGGTGATAGTTTCCACAGCAACTTGCTTATGAACTAATAGACCCCACCACACACATGCCCCAGCTCACCTTTTTGTCACAAGCAACGGGCAGGATGTTGTGGCCAACATTTCTGACTTAGTTGCACCGTGCAAGATTAACCCTCCCCTTGTTTGGAAAAACAAGTTCACCACATCCTGGAGGAGAAATAAGGCTTTTCTCATACTGGCTGAGTTACTGCTGGCTTCAAGACAGGCTCTGCAGAGAACATTGCAGGGTCTGCTTCATTAAGCTTTGTCAGGTTGTCCCTCAGACCCTGCAGACCCCTGGAGGAAGACCCTCACCCTATGCAGAAGAGAAGTGAAATTTGCCTGGTAAATCCTAATCCAGTAAAATGCTTGTTTAGTGCATCCTACCACCATAATGTAAATCAGGGGGAGTTGCTCACTAGTATTTTTATCCTGATTTTCTGATGACGCTCTGAACGTTTTCATCTTACACTCCACACCTTTTCCCAATCTCTCAGGCAGATTTAACTTTTAAGAACATTCCCTTAGGGAAAAATGGTGTAATCAGGTGGACAGGAGGGAAAGGTCAATGATTGAGTGCTGTTAAAAACCTTTGCATAAACTGTTGATCAAGTCTGGGACTAGGAATGGTTCGATCCACACCTCCCCTGAGAGGCAGTTGAGAAAACAAGGGGGTTCTTTCTGTACCTTGTGACTCAGTGGGATGGTCTCTCTCTAACAACTCTACCTTCTTTTTGCCCCCCCCCCAGTCTCTGCAGAAATCATTCTAAATTAATTCTAATTCGATGTTCCTGTGTATGTTTAATAAATAGAGTGACCATTGCTGTTGGACTTTGCTGAGCTTTTGCAAATTTCTATTAAACCTGCTTTTGCTTACACCTTTGACAGTGAGTGTTTAATCGACCTCAGCCACTCATTTCATGGGAGGCCTCCTCATTGCCTCCCACTGAGCAGTGGCTTTTCACTTTACAGTTGCAATGCATGACATAGAGTTCAAAAAACCAGGATAATATAATATTTTCCAAAAGAAATCCCACAATAAGGAGCTTTTGTACAGTCCAACAGTAAGATTGTGTTAGTGTGGCTAATTCCACAGAAGAGGACAGAGTCTGCAGCTCTCCCAGCTCATATGATCTAGGGAAAGCTTTTGTAGAGAAATTGTGCTCCACAGTAAAATGCTCTCTGTTAAAACCAGCACCTTTGCATTTGGAATTATCCTGAAATCAGAAAAAAATAAATTGTCCAGTGAGAAATCCAGAGATACCAGAAAAATGGAGGACGATTCTAAGCTGAACTCCTTGGTACAATACCTTTTAACAGTACTATCTATATTCTCCTGGAGATTTAATTGTGTTCATATTTGATTGTGTTCAGAGAGTCTTTGAATATCTCCAGAGGTGGAACCACTGTCCCTGGAGATATTCAAAAGCCACCTGGACATGGTCCTCGAGAAACAGCTCCAGATAGTCCTGCCTGAGCAGGGGAGACCAGATGACCCCCAGAGGTCCCTTCCAACCTCAATCATTCTGTATTTCTGTGATATCTTTGTCATACGAAGAATGTTTGCCTAGGAATTTCAAAGAAGAAAGTCTAGTTTAAGAGTATAATTATTAGGACTATTAGTTATTCAAAGGTATTGATGCCTTAAGCCCCTATTAGTTTTTTTTATTTTTCTAATTTTTGCAAGCTTTATAAGTTTTATAAGTAGTAGAAGTAGATTTTAAAAGCAGCAGCCCTCATTCCCTTCCCCTGTAGCACAAGTAGTTTACACATTCCTTAACTCTCTTACCCCATTCCATGCACCCCATATCAATCCTACCCCCAAATCCAGTAGAAATGTTTAGTCTCTTGTCAAGGCAAGGCCTATAGTGTTTAGAGAACACTCATATCCAGGCCTGAACAACAGAACAGAGTCAAGAACTAGGTGACCGTGTACGCTTTGTGCTCTGAGGATGATGAGAATGATGAAGAGGTGGTCCCAAAGGCCCTCAGACCCAATTCTCAGGGGCTGGAATTGGGGCAGACCAGACCAAAGGCTACAGGGTGGACACACTTGGGATTGGACGGATGGTATCATAAAATGTGATATCTCAGGCACAGCCGGGGTGCGTCTTGTAACATCTATTGCCTTGGCACAAATTAAAACCCTTTCCTTATCTCACCCTCAATTAACTGCTCCTGAGTTATTTTTTAGCATCAACATTTTACGGCATCAGTATAAATGAGCATTTTTATAGCACAGAAAATGATTCCAAAATCACTAGTGATGATTGTGCTTTGACCTTTCCCTCCTGTCCCTCTGATTACACCATTTTTGTCTAAGGGAGTATTCTTCACATTAAATACTGGCCTAGGGGCTAAAAAATTCCTCCCAAGACTGTTACTGTTTTCATAGAATGGTTCGTGTTGGAAGGGACCCTAAAGCTCATCTCGATCCACCCCCTGCCATGAGCAGGGGCACCTCCCACTAGCCCAGGTTGCTCCAAGCCCTGTCCAACCTGGCCTTGGACACCTCCAGGGATGGGACAGCCACAGTTTCTCTGGGCAACCTGTGCCAGGGCCTCACCAGTTCAGGATAAGAAAAACCTTCAGAGATCCATTCCCCCAAGCCAAAGCTCTCTCCGCCCAGCGTTAGAGCCAACAGCTGATGTGAACATATGGTTCAGTATGCAGGTGCTCATATCCAAGCTGCAGAGTCTGTGGACTTCTATTTTCTCAATGCTCCTGACCCTTCCCAATGACGCATCCCTGTCCATTCTCACCCCTGGCCCCAAGGATCTGTTAACCAGGTCTGGGTCATGTTGAGTCACACAACAAATGTGCCTTGTGGGTGAGGAAATTTTCATCTTTGTAGGTAAAGGTCACATGTGTGTCAGACAAGGGGTTCACATGCCTGGAAGCTGTTCATTGTGAGCATCTCCTCACCTCTTCTGTGCAACTCCTGTTGTCTTGTGGGGCCTTGTTTGTTTGACGTTTCTGATTCACACCCTTTCTCCTTTTAATACACCCCTAAGAAACTCGAGTCATAAAAGATGTTCTTCTGGTCCAGACCAGTCAAGAGCAGGCCTGTAACCCCCAAAGCGATAACTGAAGTTACATTTATTGCAGTGAATAAGATAAAGTGCATGGGCTCTTAGATGGATTGAAAAGTATTTGAGAAGGATCCCATTACTTTATTATCAAAATTATTACCCAAGAAATAAGACACAACAAGAGCACAGACTGTGTCTGTGTCTGCTCTGGCATCTTGGGAGAGGGCTCACCTGCAGAAGAGTTATTCCTCCTTCTGTGTACCTAGGTGATCCAAGATGTTCAACTCTAAGAGGTGCAAAAGAGAGATCTTAAAAAGCCCTCAAGGTCTGATGTAAAGTGGCAGTTAAAGTTTTTGATAGTTTTAAGTTCAGGATCCCTTGCATCCTCAGGGAGTTCAGCATCAGATTCAGTGCCAAAACTTTGGAGAATACTTGGTCCAACATGTTCAATAATTCAGTTTTTTTCAAAGGATTCCAAGTGAGTCAGATGATTTAGGGGTGAGAGCTAACACACCATTCCCTACTAAGTACATGGAAGAAAGTATGGCATTTTTTATTTCACAAGCATTAATTGCTTGATTTTTTCTCAGTATTTCTACATCTTACTACATCAGCTACAATACAATCCCAGTTTGGAAAAAGAGCATAAGGAACCAATTTCACCATCAGCACTTTTACTTACACAAAATGCCAATATTTACAATATTTAATCAACTTACGTCATATAGCAGCTTTTTGTAAATCTAAGTGATTTTTTTGCATGTTTCAAATTGTTGTATGGACTTGTATTGTATTTTTTGTTTTATTTCAGAGTCTTTCATGTTTGTCTAGGCATCACCATGGTTATTTCTCTGCTAGATTTATGTTAACTGTAGAATAACTTCTACAGTCCAGCTCTTCAGAAAACTAACTTACATTTCTGTGGAAGAGTTCACTAAATGACGATGATGATGTCTAGCGTTCAACTGAAAATCTAAACTACTTTGCTAACTCCTGAAAATCTCTTCACCTGGATGCTACTGAAAGAGAACACTGGGTTTTAGAAAAGTTGAGCTGGTTAACATTTCTTTGCCAATGGTTCATTAAGTGTTGTTCAATTTGGTCACCATGAGGAAATCTGAGATTTGTGGGTTTGCTTGGTATTTTGTCATGATGGTTCTGCTCTAATCTGTTTTGCTTTTTGGTTTATTTTTTTCATTGTTTTCTTACTTTAACTTAGCGAGGTCCATGTATTGTGCTCAGCCATCATTTTACCTCTGTAGTCCTCAGGTCTCATCCTGGATCAGGGAGGCTTCAGACCCTTTTGAACTGTGTGAAGCATTAAATCCCCATTGCAAATGGTGTCTTAACCCAGTTTAAGTCTACAGTTCTTTTCTGAGGGCCACAGAGCCCCAGGGCATTCTCTGGCAAAAGTTTACAGCTTCTTGTAGGCAAAGGTTCCACTTTCACCTTTCTCCTGGGGATCTGCTGCCTGTCACTTTGACAGCTTCTCCTCCAGCTGGGAATGTTTCTCTGAAGCCTGTATCCTTCAGGTCTACTGTGGGCAGGGTGGGAATGCAAAGAGGTCCTGGAGCCCAGTAGGACTCAGAAAGTGCAACATCTGCATTTCTATGGACTGGAGACACCTGCAGTTGATCAGACACAAGAGC